GACAGGCAAATTACACAACTTTGTGATCTGAGTGTTTAAAGGAATAAGAGAAACACGGCTGATGATTACTAAACCTCGACGAAGAGTAAGTAAATGCTTTTTAGTTAGTCTAGGGAAAATAACGAGGGAACAATAAAGCATGACTGGAAAAATGCATTTATAAACAAAGGAACATACAGTTTCATGTCTGAAGCCAAATTGACGAAACTTGCATATTTGAAAAGATAAGCGACACAGTCTACCAACACAAGCAAGCACATGAGAGGACCACCGTAGATTGCTATCCATGGTGGACTCCTAGGTATTTTGGGATATGTGTTCTGGTGACGGATACGCAGTTGATGACTGAGGGTTCCGAGGGATAATCAGAACGGGAAAGACTAAAAATGCATTCAAAGGATTTAGAAGTATTCAACCGGAGACGGGATTGATTCGAGAATGGTTGTACTTGTAGTAAACTGTCGGTTGTGTTTATAAAAGTAAAAGTGGCTGGTTTATTAAGGTTAAATGGAAACGAACAACAATGTCTGTCAAATTCCGCAGGGGAACATAACGAAAGGGGACGGTGCGGGGTGGGGTGAGAAAGGCAGTGGAACAAGTTTAACGTTCAATGTTCGATGTACATCGAACCTAAAACTTTGTTTTAACGAGGCAATTTAAAAACAGACATGGTGTACCCATCGGTTCCCCAATTGATCCTTTTCTGGCAGATTTGTTCATAGCTAAACTGGAAGAAAGAATGACCACCAAAATGGTCAAGGAAATGCATTCCAAGACTTATGCGGAAAGACTGGAATCACTGCAACTGTACTCCACACAGTATCGCCGCATTCGAAGGGACTTGCTCTTGGTGTATCAAATAATGCAGAACCTAGATCACCCATGTCGTTCACTGTTCGCCTTGTCGCATAACACTCACCTGATTGGGCACTCATTCAAATTAGTGCTCCAAAAATACCGACTAGCATGCCGGCGTCATTCACTCGCCCTCGGAGTGTGCACTACTTGGAATTCTCTACCACTCCACGTTGTTTCTGCGTCCACAATTGACTCACTCAAGGACAAACTGGACGAAGCTTCGATGAGTCTCAATTTCAATAAAAGTCGTTTTTCAACATACCGGGGAAACTGACTGGGAAGCAATACAACCAACATGCATGCATTCTCAAACCTTACACTTAACTTGTGGGGAACAGAAAATATCCTCAGTCGGAATGAGCAATATGAAAGCTTTACAGATTGTGTTCTAAAAGTACAGTGCCCATGATAAATTGTGTGATATTTTGCCATTGTTGATGTCAGTATGAGTTCATGATTGCTAAAAAAGAGTAGGAAACCTATTTATGAGGGCTGTATATGGTTCGTCGGTCAACAGGGAAACAAAATCACGACATTTTGAGCCATTTTCAGTTTCAGTTGCTGTTGGATGACTGTCCACTTTGTCCTGTAGCTGTGAACCCGTACTGAACCGTTGAGACGTACTGCACACAGTTGGAGTCCAGTCAAGAAGCGTGTTCTCAGCTTTGACATTAGTAACATTGTGAGCTTCCTTTTTTTGGCTGAAAGCTTGTATATAACTCCTTCAAGCTTGAATAAAATACAATACAATAGAACTAGGGTACCGTCTTTGTGTTTCGGAGACAACATACGTCTAGAATGATAGTTTCTTAGTTTCTGTCCAGGACAGCTTGTTTGCCCTTTCGAATAGAGTGTGCGGATTTGAAATGCGGCTGAGTGAGAAGAACTTTTCGGCTTCATCATTCCCTTAGCTTCTGATTGGTCTACGTTACTGCCTAAACGCTTAGTGATATCCGAACCGTGAAGTAATCTGCTGTTTAACTGTTCTTCAAGAATTTCACCGAAATTTTGAAGCACATAGATCCAAGCGTCTTTGCGTCTTTGACAAAGGAAGTTGACCATTACAACCAGTTCATAGTGATGGTCGAATAAGTTGTGTGGTTTTGTTGGTGGTCAAAATTAAAACTTAACCGTGCGATGGATGATTGACCGCGGTTGACTTGATTGTAGTGCCTGAGTGAGAGTTAATCATCTGCCTTTTTTCACTGGTCGACTATGTGAACCTTCCTTTTTTTCATTCCAGGGAGCCGCTCGACTAGAAATGGTGTTACAAGCTTTGCCCAAATTGGCCGCTGAGATCAGTGCACCGTTGGCCCAATGCGAAAAAGTGACCATGGTTTCCACCGGGGATGGGGATATCGGGGTCTCCCGCCTGACCGGGGAAGTGCTTCAACTGATGACGCAATTACCAAAAGTGGTTCAGTCCATGACTGGCGTGGATCTGTTCAAAACAGCGCAATCAGTCTGATCGGGTCCACGCGATCCACACACACATTCCCTGACCGGAATGCGATTGTTTGGTCGATTTTCAAGGCGCAAACAGAGCGCGATTCCATGTTGTTCCGCATCAGACAGAGCCTATGGGTGTTTTTCTTCTTTCGTCACCTATATGTTTAGGAACTTTCGTCTGCCTTTATTCGGATATGTATTTATGTCTGGGTAGAGAACGAGACAAGATGTTCTCTATCAAATGACTTTCCTGATGATGATGATAATAATTTACCCCACTCCGTCTCTCTCTATCTTCTCTGTTCTTTTTTGCTTTGTGTGTTATACTTCTATTGAATATTGAACGTTTTGACTTAACTTATATACACCGCTGGTACTATTTCGCGTTCGACTCCTTCATGCTGTAGTTTTGAATGTGTGTGTTGTGTATTGGGTATCCGATTCGGGTTTAGTCACTGTCACCTGGTGGTCCGAGGTTCGAGCCCCGCCACCTTACGTTGGTGGTAGACAGCTTGGCTGTTGCCCGGTTCTATACCACGCCTGAGCTAGCGAGGCCTTATGTGGGCCCCATAGTCACGAAGACCTGCTGTTCAGTGATGATAAACGGTAACCTAAGGCCCGGGACTTGGAGTGGCGAGCCACGTAAGACCCCGCTAGCTCAGATGTGGTATGGAACCGGGCGACAGCCAAGCTTTCCACCACCAAAGTTGTGTGGGGTGGTGGGGCTCGAATCTCAGACCGCCGAGTTAAAACCACGCCATTGGCAGCAACTAAACCACTGCGCCAACGTCACTGGTGTGTGATAAAAAAATACAAACCTTGTACAGTATCCCAGGGTTCCCGGAAAATTGTCCAGTGCATACAGGAATTGACCAAACTCGTGCAACATCCTGATTTTCATCACATTTGTTCTCCCAAATGCTTTGCTTTTCCAGCCTCGTTCACGGGATTGAACATGATGTTGCCCCACTTCAGACGCAACATATTTGATGTAGTAACCACTTATGTCTATGCTTCTGTCAACCATATGCCATTAAAATATACGATTTCGCGATTTTGACGATGGTTGCTGGTGCATTAGTTGTAAAATAATAAAATCACAGTAGAAAACGTAACTAGAATTTATTTATTAAAATGACTTATAGACTTCATACAGGTATTGTACTTTCATCTCGTCCATGTTCCATTTGCCCTTCATTTTTGAGCACTAGAGGCAGTCACTTTGGCATGGATTCCACCAAGTTGACTGCCAAATAGAATTTGCCAGTTTCCTCTAATACACCCCACACTTTAACCACTGACGACCAATGTAGAGGCAGCTAACTTACCCCTGTTTCTGATACAGAGAAAAGTTTTCTATTAAATTAATACCCCAGCTGCTATATGGTAATTGAAAGAATTTGATATTGGACTTGGCCCATCCAGAGACTGCATCAATGTGAAAGAATAATATTCAATTAGGTCCAACCGGTTTTTAGTACCAACCTCAAGCGAAAGATTAACCAACCTTGATCTGTGAAACATATGACTTCTGCAAATGCATTTAAAAGAGTAGCAATTACCGAAAACCTCCCTTATCAGTGCAAAACATTTTGCGATATCCAGCTTGGTGTGTACAGGAGACCAATAACTAGGCACTCAGTATTTTAATCCGTCCTAACTCGTCTGGCGGAATGAATATTTATTTCTTTTAACAGATAAAACGAAATTTATTGGAAAATTAGCTCAGCAGAACAGCTCTCACCATATGCTGAATTACTGGTTGGCCACCAGTGGGAGAAATCCATTACCAAATGGAAGGACTACGCGATTTAAATTTGTTGGTAAAATCATTACATGCTCTGTTTTATTGGGCATTCCATAATGGCTTTATATCACGTGGTCTCAGCTGCACGTTAAATTGAGCCATCATTTTCCAAACGAAAGTGTGAGGAAAAAACGGCTAATCAGCCCGGATCATCCTCCAAATTGGTTTTATGCAACTCTTCTCTGCTTCAATCAAATACAACCGACGTCCTGCGTTGATATGATCGGTTTTCTCTTTTTTGGTTTATGTCTTGATGGAGAAATTACATTGAATGTGTAGCAAATTGGCATTATGTTCACATCAAAGCACTTCCACAAGACAACAAATTAGTCCGAATTTATGTACCTCTCGATTAAGTTGCCTCTATGCTTCA